ATTAAATATTTTGGATGTTTTTCTCGGATGATTACCCAGCACCTGATCATTTTAAGAACACTTTCACAGCAGATTTGACAAACGCAATGAAGGTACCAATGTGAGATTTTGAAGGACAGATACAGCACTCAACCCAAGGTTTAAGAATCTGAAGTGCCTTTCAAAATCTGAGACAGACGAGGTGTGGAGAATGCTTTCAGATGTCTTAAAAGAGCAACATTGATGTGGGAACTACAGAATCCAAACCACCAAAAAAGAAAATCAACCTTCTGCTGGTGGCAACTGACTCAGATGATGAAAATGAACATGCATTGGTCTGCTCTACTTTGGATCGTTATCGAGCAGAACCCGTCATCAGCATGGACACATGTTTTCTGGAATGGTGGTTAAAGCATGAAGGGACATATGAATCTTTAGCACATCTGGCACGTAAATATCTTGCGATGCTGGCTACAACAATGCTATGCGAAAGCCTGTTCTCACTTTCAGGTGACACTGTAAACAAGAGGTGGGCAGCATTATCTCCTGCAAATTGTAACCAAACTTATTTGTCTGAGCAATTTGCTGAAGTAGGAGTGAGTGGACTTGTAGGTTCTAAAGTTTTACACTGTTTTATATTTTAACGCAGTTATTTTTTGTACATAATTCTATATTTGTAAGGTCAACTTTCATAATAAAGAGATTGCACTACAGTGCTTGTATTAGGTTGTAATCAAAAATAAATATAAAGTGAGCACTGTACACTTTGTATTCTGTGTTGTAATTGAAATCAATATATTTGAAAATGTAGAAAACATCCAAAAATATTTAAATAAATGGTATTCCATTACCAACAGTACAATTAATCGCGATTAATCACAATTAATGTTTTTAATCGCTTGACAGCCCTAATAAAAAGTTGTACTGGCTACAGTTAGATGCTGTGCCATAATAAGAGTCCGTACTAACATTTGCGTAGCATCTTCCTTCTGTAAATCCTGACAGTGCTATACAAAGATTAGCTTTACAGACATTTTATAGATAAGAAAACATGCAAGGAGAGGTAAATGACTTTCCCAAATTACCATAGCAAATTAGTGAGAGAGAGAGAAAGAAAGAACCCAGGGTCTCCAGAGTTCCAGTCCCAGTGCTATCTAATGAATCAAACTGCATTCAGGTGCCTCATCCGTACATCACTTAATCAACATACCATAATTCTGACCTGCAAAAACCCAGTTCTTTTATTCTTAAGTGGGACTATGAAATTTATTTGTCTAGAACCCTGAATCCAGCAAGTAAAGGAGAACTAAGTTGACTTTACTGCTTTCCACAAACATGACTGAAGATCCAAAAAGAGGCCATGGTGACCGAAGCAAATGCTATTTTTGCAGCTGTTAGTCTTCTTCTCTCACAAGGCCATTCTGAGACCATGTCACCAAGTCTTAGGGTATCTTCTCCCCATATTCTGAAAGGCAAGGGACAACTGTCCCCCAAATGCATGAACACTGTGCAGGAAAAAGTTGTAACCTGTAGTTTAATCTATAACTAAGCAACTACTGGGAGTTCCCTATCGTCCGCGTGCTAGGTGGGATGTCCCCACAATCTAGCATATGGTTATTGCAGAATTCACAGTGGCTCCCAAGCTTCTGTGCTAAATATAAATTTCCATGTAATCCTGAAGTCTGAAATGTACTAAGAATAGGAGAGTACTGCTATCTGATGGAAAGACAGGCATTCCCAGCACCCTCAAAGATTATGAATTTTGGGGTTCATAATGAGCACCTTTAAAGAGGCCAGATGAGAAAGTGGACAATCAGCTTTCCCTGAAAACTCCAAAGAGAAAACCTTTGATCCAGGATACAGAGTGAGTCAGTCCTCTGAATATAAAAAGATGGTGATCTTCACGGTCTAGCCACCTCCCCTTAGATATTAAAGTTCATACATCTGAGCCTTTCAAACAAAGATTACCAGTTTGATTTTGCGATGGATAGATGCTCACTAACACATAATTTATGACCGAAGCCAGGAGTTTAATATTAACCCAGTATACCACCTAGTCCATGTACATCCATTATTGAAAGAGGTTATATCAGCACATCAATTCTCAGTCTTGAGAAAGACAGAAAATTTACTGATAGCAGGAGGTTTTTTCTGTGAATTAACACGGAAGGAGTTCCAAGAGAAAATAAATTTAAATTACACAGGCAAATGGCGTACAAGAAAAACAAACATCTCAATATTAGAACTAAGTTTTTCGTCAATTATCAACTAACAAGATTCCTAAGGTTTCTAGTCTTCAGAAAGGTTGCGAAACATGTTGTTAAAGAATTTACGGCTTCCATAGGAATAACTGATATGAATTCAATGTATATATCTTCTTGTTCTTAGCTCTAGTTCATAAGAAACACCTCCCCACCCCAGGAGACTTAAATATGCACACATACCCCTAGATGCAAGGAATTTACTGTATACACCTCTACCTCGATATAACACTGTCCTCGGGAGCCAAAAAAAAATCTTACTGCGTTATAGGTGAAACCGCGTTATATCGAACTTGCTTTGATCCACCGAGTGCGCAGCCCCCCCCCGGAGCACTGCTTTACCGCATTATATCCGAATTCGTGTTATATCGGGTCGCATTATGTCGGGGTAGAGGTGTATGTGTAATTATCAAAATATAAAAATGATGACATACTTTGATAGGACAATATTGAAATAATCACTAAAAGCAAGACTGTAAAAGCTCTGTATGGACTTAAAAACAGCAATTAGATAAGAAAGAAAATTCAGAAATAGCACTAAGTAAATAGTGAGATTAACACCAAGTAAAAGCAAGTGAAAGCAGACACCTATTAATCTTGTGGTTGGTAGTTTGTTGCAAGAACTTTCAGAGCAGCAACCTGAGGATACAGTCTCCCCTGCTCATGCTGGGAGGGGGAGGGGGGGAAGAAGAGTCATCTCCTGTGTCTTTCACTTTAAAGCTCCAGTATGGAAGACAAAGAGGGCCCAAAGAGTTTTGGAGCTACCACTTGTTAGCAAGAGGTATTGGGAAGCCTCTGCTGGATAACTCTGGCCTTCTCAGGAAGGGATCAAAGGAAGAGTCAGACTCCTTCCCCTGGTTCTTCTGACCCAGCTCATGAGCTACACTTTTTTGTTGATGGTCAGTTGCACTTCTCGAATCACTCACTAGTAAACATCACTGCTGAACTTCTCTTGTGGCAGAGCTATATGCACATTCTTTCCCAGGCCCTGTGGAAGATGTTTACTACTAACTGAAAGCTACTTGGTCCTAGAGAAGCTGAAACTAAAACCAAAAAGCTAGCAGGCAGGTGAGTGCAAAGAGAGAAACGAAGGGGAATGGAGACAGGCAGGATTGGCCCCATTTGTTTAGTGTTGTTGCTCTTGAACACGACAAACACCTTTCCCATCCCTTATTGAATAGCAACAGGGAAAACTAAAAAAATTAAAGACTTTTTGAAATCAAAACATACTATTTAAAAGTGCTCTATCAAAACCTTGATTTTAAAAAATGTTTACATTTAAAATCAATAGTGAGCCTTTCAAATACCAATTGCAGAGTAAAACCTGCAGGGACTGATTTACGTACAGCATCCAGCAAAATGAGACCCCAATCTCAGATGCTATTGTAATACATATAATGATTCTTCCTGTAGACAAATAGCACTGCAAATCTCAAAAACGTGACCGCTTTTAAAGTGTTCCACTTAAGAGAGAAAGTGGGATGTGACAAGTATCTCCACTCTCCCACTTCTGAAGTCATTCTATTTAAAAAGACTCCAAATTTAAGTCTGTACAGATTTTTAAACAAGAATCCACCTGCAATCTAGGTATCTCCTATTTCTTCACCTCTTCATCAGCCACTTTAGTTCTCTGCAATGCTCTGTTACTCAATTATTGCATGTCTTAACTCATGAGAGAAATTACATACAAGTTTTTAAATATATGTGACATACATAAAATGTACACAAGCTTAACAAGAGTAACTCAGAACTTTGGCAGCATGCCATATTCTCAGATATCGTGAGTTACTGAAATCACCTGCTAGGATGTTTCAAGACTCTCACTGCATCCTTTACTTTAAAACAAGATTGATATGTTCTTTTTATTCTGTTGCCCAAACTGCTCAAGAGTTGACAGTCACTTAACAGACACCCTCAATGGCACGTTTATATTTATACAGACTCATATTAGCAATATTTTAATGTCAAATCACCATACTGTCCTTATCCAAGTCATTTCACAATACTGAAAAAGGCATTTGTTTGACTGTTTACTTTCAAAACATTCCATTTTGAAATGCCAAGTTTGATATTTTTCAAAATTAATACCAACTCCCTGCACTTTCACGGAAAATACAAGTTAGAGTATAATGAAGTTTAAAATTTCATCGGTTAATGACAGCTTCTACATATGTAAAATCCCTAAGATTTATTCAAATTATTATGACAAACAGCCATTTTTACTGTAAGTTAGCCAATGAATAGTATGACAAACACGTTTGTCAAAAAAATAAAAAATAAGAGCTAGTATTTTAGTTTCAAACTACTAAGGCAAGGGGTTCACAAACCTTTTCATAATGTAAATCACAAACACCTCTCGTATCACTTTCCCACCCATTTGCAATCACAACATTCCTTGTGGAAACTGCATGGAAAAGCAATATTAGGAAATTATTTTTCTAATTTTCTTAAGCATTTTAGTAATTGGAAGTAATTGCAAGCACCACATGACTAGCCAGTGGTCTCCTGATCACCAGCAATTGCTCTGTGGACCACCAGTCATCTGAAAGACTACAGTTTAAAACTTACTTAAAAAATCTAAAACTATTCCAATTATTATTTGAGGCAAATATAAATGTATGTTGGTAATTCTTCAAAAGCTATTGAAAACCAGGTTACAATAGCAATTCTTTATAATTAGAGGATTTCATTTAATCAATGTAAATAAAAGGTACAAAATGTCTAAGAAAAAAATTAATAGTTTTTAGTATTGTATTGTACCTGTAACATCTTCTGGATCTGTTACAACAATGTGCGCATTTAATTCCTGCAATTTATGATGCAATTCTTCCAATTTCTTGTTTGATTTTTTCAAAATGTTGTCCACGTAAGCCAAGTTTTTTTTATCTGTTGTGACCTTTCTCAGGTTCTCTGCTCCTTCCTTGATTTTAAGTTCCTTCCTTATTTCACGTTTGATTTGGTCCTTTATTTCATCCAACTTCTGTTGTACCATTGTGTCTGAGAAGTCCAATTTTTGGCCAATGCTTACATTTTCCGAGACTAGAAGACTTCGGGCATCCCCCTACAGGGAGAGAAGAAAAAAAAAAAAGGCATACTCAAAGGTTAGCTGCTTGCATGACTAAAAACACTAGGCTCATGTCCAGAATATGTTAGACACACACCCTGAGAAGCCATTTACTAAATATTTATCTGTCATGCTGCCCCAACAAAGCAACAAGCCCATAAACTTGTACAACTTCACTGAAGTTATGCTTTACAAGTTACAGATTTGTTTTAAATCTAGTGATACCTTTACTATGCCTATTTTTAACAGAAAGACTTAAATACCTCTGGATTTGTCATGCACGCATGCCTTGCCTTAGAGCCACATTTGCATTTTTTCAAGATTTAATTGTGAGCTTTAGTAGACTAAGTGGATCTAAGCAGTAACATTTAATTCTTACAGTTAGTAACAAAGAAGAATTCCTATACATTTACTTAGAATTTCAGTAGTTATCCTATTAAAAAGTATTTTAAAAAAATAGAGCAACCCTTTCATAGGCTTAAAGAAACACAGCAGTGTTTACAGATACTAGGTATTTTAGAACATGTGTTACTGGAATGCAAGTTTCTCTTTCTGATTTGCTTCTTTTAAATTTTTATTTAGAGGGATTTAAAAAATGAAATAAAAGTTGCAACTTCCTTTCTTGGCATAGGTAGATGGGCAGAGGAGGAGACGAAAGTATGACAGAACACCACTAGCTGTCACCTTCAGCCCCCAACTAAAACCTCTCCAGCGCATCATCAGAG